AGAGGAGCCTGCAAAGGGCCCCAGACCTGGTGCTGCAGCCAGGAGCAGTGGCTCATGCTCTGCTGGGGACGTGCTGGCAGGACTGGGGGGTCCCCCCTGGTCACACAGGGTCTAGGAGCAGCCTGGCAAGGGCAGAGTCTGGGCTGTCAGCCTCCCTTGCTGGGTACATCACAGCCTGCTGGACCCCCCTCTTGTCTTGTCCTCCCATTTCCTTGCAGGGCTGAAGCCACTGAAGGCCACGAGCATTCCCAAAAGGATCCTGGCTCTGGGGAGCAGGAGGTATTCCAAAGGAGACATGAGAGACACAGTTAGCATGGATGGGAGCCTGGAGAATCTCTGGATGGATGAGTTGACAGGAGCTGGAGGACTTCTGGAGACTGTGGACTATGACTGGATACTTGCCAGGAGATATGGATAGGCAACATTCCCTTTGAAAACCAGTTGAGCTTGGCATGTCTTTGGCGAGGAGCCTGTAGCCCTGGTATTTCTCTATTTGGGAACTAAGAGATGTCCTCAGGCTGCAGCCTTGGCACTGCTCAAGCATGGCTGGAAAGGGAAGTTGCCTGGAAAGGTGGTGGGGATCACTTCCAAGAAACTTCAGTTCAGGGATAGCAGGGAGCTGTCCCTCCCTGCAGCTGTGTGGGGCACAGAGCAGGAGTCCCCCCTCCCGTGCATCGCCCTGCCAGCTGCATCTCGGTCCAGACAAAGCCCGTTTTCCAGAGAATCCCACCTACCTGGTAGTTAGTGGAGTCATGTGGCTGGAGCACTTAATTAATAAAAAGCTCATATAAATCCCAGTAAGCATGTGGGGAGGAGGACACTGAGGCAGAGAGCAGTAGCAGCGCTTCCAGCGAGCTCAGTGGAACAGCAAACGGCAAGTCCCCTCTCCACTTGGAGAGGTCAGTGCTTACCATGGGAAAGGGCTTGGGAGGTGTAGGGTGTGATATCCATGGCTGTGGGGCTCCCCACCGTGCAGAGGGGTCTCTCCCAGCAAAGAGCTGGGTAGTTTTGTGGGATGGGGACATGAGGAGTGGCCAGTATTTGGCTGCTGGAGCCCCAAGGCTGCCAATGCAGCAGGCACTGCGTTTCCCAGGATTTGGCTGAGAGCAGCAACTTGGGACACTCTCTTGGCCCATTTTCTTTTGCTCCCTAAGAGCCTCCCTGCTTTTTTACAGGTTTCAGGCCCCTAAAGGCCACAGCCTGACCCTGCAGCATCTGCTGCCCCCATGCCCAGCTTATCCAGTCATTCCCTCAGCTGTGCCCTGCCCAGTGCCCAGCTTCTAGTGGCACTTTCATGCTCTGAGCCTGGCAGGAGCTGTGTCGGATGTTTCAGCCACATTCCATGCACCTCAGTGGTCTGGTGGCTGCTGAAGGCTGCGAGTGGAGCAGGGAGACTCTGAAATGCAGAATGGATCGTTCAAGTCTCAGCCCATTCTCTGCTGCTGAGTTCCCTCTGTGGGGAGATCATGATTGTGCCCACATGTGGGGTGCCCCACAGCACGTGCATTAGCTCTGGAGGGTCCATGTGGAGCTCCCAGATGTGTGGGGTCCCAAAAAGGGCTCTCAGATCCAAGGGAGCAAACAGCCTGGCGTGGTGGCTGTGCTGGCAGAGGCTGCCCCTTGCTGGTGCAGCACTGCTCAGGTGTGATGGCAGTGCAGGGGGGGACAGGCCAGGCTGCCCACAGGTGGGCTGATGCTGCCTGGGTCCCTCTGTGCAGGTCATCCCCCAAAACCATGCTGAACATGCTGCTGCTGTGCTGTGGGCTGCTGCAGGGCATCCAGGCTGTCCTAACCACTGAGCTCAGCTGCAGCCACCTGCAGAAGGGGAGTGGTGGGCTGGAGGGGGTGGACAGAGTGCGTCACTCCAACCTGCAGAAGAAACTCAAGGAGGCATCTCCAGAGCCATCAGGTGAGTTCTGTGCCCCTGCTCTCTGCTGACCCCCACCAGCTGCTCGCTGGCATGCCCAGGGCTCCAAAACTAAAGTGGGGATCCCACTCCCAGAGTTAGCTGCAGAGGATCCCCTTAAAAGCAGCACAGCTTCTCCCGGCCCCAGCTAGTGAGTTTATCCTGGCAGCCCACAGGGAGTGGGACTTTTTCCATGGGGAGCAGGATTAGAGCTGACCCCCCAGCAGCCTCCTTGTCCAGCTTTTCTGTATCTTGCAGGAGCTCTCCCCAGGTTGGGGTTTGAGCAGATGGCCCTGGAAGTCCAAGAAGCTGATGGTGACCTTGCGCAGAGAGGCAGTGTGCTGCAACCAGAGGTAATGCTCCCCAAGCTTTCTTACAGACACCACAAAGAGCAGGGCAGGCTTGGGCTACAGCAGCCTTCTCTGTGCCCCCGGGGCCAAGTGGGATTTGAAACCTAATGTGATGCTGCCTGGAAAGGAATTATCTGTTCTTCCCTTGCTGGGGAGCAGCCAGGGCTGGGACGAGCTGAGGCTGCCCAGAGCTGCAAGGGGCTCCAGCATTCAAAGGAGGGTGGTCCAAGCCTGTGCTCCTGTAATCCATCTGATTAACCTCAAAGACAGCCCAGGAAATCCTCTGCAGAGCAGGAGCTCACCGGGCAGTTCCACATCTTGCTGGGTTCAGACCCTGGTGCCTCTGTTCGGGCAGATGGCACAGCACTGTGCTGAAGTCCAGGCTGTGCTTCAAAATTCGTGTGTGCAGGAAGGCCTTGAGACACGGTGGATGAAGCAGCAATGCCTGCAGAGAGCCCACGGGGCTCAGGGGTGGTTTCCAACAGACAGAGCCTGGAGTTGAGCATGACAGAAGCCTCCGCTGCTGGCAGCAGCAGGTTTAGCAGCCACTCTTGGCTCTCTCCCACGTAAATCTTTATTACTGGCACAGTGGTCCAGCACCAGCTCTTCCCCCCCTCTTCCTCCTCTCTCTCCTGCAGGCATCATCCACAGAGCTGCAGGGCCGTGAGGAGCGCTCCCCCCGCCGCTGTGTCCGCCTGCTGGAGTCCTGCCTCGGCCACCAGGTCCCCTGCTGTGACCCTTGTGCCACCTGCTACTGTCGCTTCTTCAACGCCTTTTGCTACTGCAGGAAAATCAGCACCAATTTCCCCTGCGGCAAGAACTAGCGCCCACGCCACGGGGCTGCCTGCTCCTTGCCCATGTGTGTGCCTCCCTCTCTGCAGCTCTAATAAACCAGCCCTTTGCAAAAGCCATTGCTGAGTGGGATTGGTTCAATGTGTCTGCTTGGGATCTCAGGGGAGAGGGGCAGCACCAAGGTGAGGGTGTCTGTACACAGGTGGGTGCTGTGTCCACACAGCTAAGAGTCCAACGCACCTCCGTGTCAAACAAAGTATATATCTAACAGAGATATAAAGCTATTAGAGAGTACCCAAAGGAGGGCAATGAGGATAGTGAAGGGCCTTGAGGGGAAGCCATATGAGGAGTGGCTGAGGGCACTTGGTCTGTTCAGCCTGGAGAAGAGGAGACTGAGGGCAGAGCTCATTGCTGTATACAGCTTTCTTGCAGGGGGAAAATTGGATGGGAAGGCACTGATTTCTCTGGCAACTGGTGACAGGACCCGAGGGAATGGCCTGAAGTTGTGTCAGGGTAGGTTTAGATTAGATATTAGGAAAAGGTTCTTCCCCCAGAGGGTGTTTGGGCATTGGAACAGCTCCCCAGGGAACTGGTCACAGCACTAACCCTAACAGAGCTCACAAAGTGTTTGGACAATGCTCTCAGGCACATGGTGTGATTCTCGAGGACTCCATGATCCTTGTGGGTCCCTTCCAACTCTGAATATTCCGTGATTTATTTAGTTTTTTTACAAAGCAGCTCCTGCAGGGCCCTTTCTGGCTAGATAAATGGTTTCTCGGCAGGAGAGGTGCCCCAGGTAATGCTGCAAGCTTTGCTTGTGTTCTTTTCCTGCCTGTATTGCTCCTAGTGGCTTAAGTGTAATGGAGTAGAACCACAGGTATAGCACTGGGCAGGGGATGCTCACAGGGAACACGAGAAATTTAAATTGGATATTAGGAATAAAATTTTTACTGTGAAGGTAGTAAGACACTGGAACAGGTTGCCTAGGTTGTCCCTTGTTAAGGCAACTTAACTAACACTTAACCGTGTCCTTCTTCATCAGAACTGTCACAGAATCATAGAATGTTAAGGGGTTAGAATGGACATTATAGATCATCTAGTCCCAACCTCTGCCTTGGGCAGGGACACCTTCCACTAGAGCAGGTTGCTCAAGGCTTTATCCAGCCTGGCTTTGAGCACTGCCAGGGTTGGAGCATCCACAGCCCCCCTAGGCAACCTAAATTTCAATTTATACCCATTACTCCTTGTCCTGTCACTACAGTTCTTCATGAAGAGTCTGATAGAGCTGTTTGAGCAAGTCCAGAGAAGGCCACAAAGCAGACAGGCTGAGGTGTTTGGGCTGTTCAGTCTGGAGAAGAGGTTGTGTGGAGACTTCATAGCAGCCTTCCAGTATTTGAGGGGCCTACAGGGGAGTCGGAGAGGGACTCTTTGACAGGAATTGCAATGATAGGACAAGGGGTAGTGGATTCAAACTGAAGGAGGGGAAATTTAGGCTCGATATTAGGAAAACGGTTTTTCCTGTGAGGGTGGTGAGACACTGGCACAGGTTGCCCAGGGACGTGGTGGCTGCCCCAACCCTGGCAGTGCTCAGAGCCAGGCTGGATGAGGCCTCGAGCATCCTGTTCTGGTGGGCGGGTTGGGACGAGATGCCCTGTGAGGACCATTCCAGCCCCAGCCCCAGTCCCAGCCCC